AGACCCCTAACCCCAATATTCACCCTACTCCAGTTTCTATCACATAGTTCTTTTATGTCACCAATCTATATCTAAAATTATCTTTGTTATTACTTGCTTATTTATTGTTCTCTCTCCAAACTGCAAGCTTTGTGATATTTGGGAATTTGTCTGTCATGTCTGCTGCTGGGTCCCAAGTACCCAGAACAGTGCCTGGGATATAATGGGCCCTTAATGCGTGTTTGTTGCATAAAGGAGTGAATAAATCATGAATCCCAATTGAGACTCTGATGACAGATCTGAACCCATTCCTTGGGAAAAAATGCCCTTAGTGTTTTGTATATGATTTCAGGAGGTTTCAAAGCCCTGCAAGCTTATAGAGGGGTTTAAACCCCTGCATTATAGCTATCCTGTTTCATAATGTTCTTTCTGAAATTGATTTTGAATGTTGTTCTTTGAAATTAGACATGAATATAAACTTTAAAAGCATGTTTTAGGTGCAATACAACAAACCACAAGCCAATCATTCCTCACTGGTTTTGAATAAAATAGATCCCCGATATTTACATTAATTGATCCTAATGATCGTATTTCATTGAATCAGGATGACTTTGTGGTAAAAATGTTAATTGCTTACCCATATCCAGTTCTCCTCTCCTTTGGGAAAACTGGAAGGATTAAGCTTCCCAGCCTCCCTAGCCATTGGGCACAGCCATATGACTAACTCTAGGACTGGAGACAGAAGTGACGTCACAGACAGGATGGTGCATTCAGTTGCTGGTGTGAGATTCTCTGGGGCTCTGCCTTCTCCTGTAGTAGTGACTGCAGAAGAACGTGATGGTATGGAGGTGCAATGCCAAGCCATCACATGGAGGATCCCTGCTCTGGAGAGTACACGGCAGGCTTTGTGTGAGCAAGGGTTAGAAACCTTTGTTGTTTTGAGTCCCTGAGATTTTCTGATGATTTGCTTTTACAGTATAACCCGACATAACCAAAATATACCACTGGTTGGAAAATGTACTATTATTTTATACCATTGAGGGAAAAGAAGCTGTCATTTATAATTGTAAGATGCATCACAGTCTCTGAAATGTTAAAATATGAAAAACGAGAACCTGTAATAAAATACAGATTGTTAAAATGAATTCATTGAAACAGGTTAGCATAGTGTCAAGAACTCCAAATCTAGAGTTGGACAGAAAGATGGGTTCAAATCCCAATACTTACTAGCTTGTGACTTAGCAACTTAGCTTGTGTAAACCTTATTTTCTTCATAGGATTCTGTGAATATTAAATGAGATAATATATAATGAGTTCAGCATAGTAATTATTCCACATATTTTAGTCCCATGTTTGGTTATATCACAAAACATTCAAAATCAACTTTAATTTCAAACAACAGACAGGAAAATCTCTTTGTAAGTTTGTTGCCATGTCATACTAATCAATCAGCAAATACTTACTAATTCCTTACCTTAGGTTTGAGGACTGGGCCTCTGAGTTAGGTATTCTCTGGTGTATTTTCTAGGTGAACCAGGATAGAATAAATATCAGAGTGGTCTTGATAAGTAAATGAAGTCACAAAAATATACCTGAGGAATGTATAAAAGGTCAGTCCTTACCCATTTTGATGACTGATAGGATGGTAAAGGGGAAATTGAAAACCTTTTCTATGTCCAGAGGTGTGTGTGTGTGTGTGTGTGTGTGTGTGTGTGTGAGAGAGAGAGAGAGAGAGAGAGAGAGAGAGAGAGAGAGCGCGCTGGGTGGGGAGTCTAATGGTAAATCATAGTAGCAAAAGAGTAGCTCTTCTGAGATATGTATGAATGTTTCTATCCACATAATGTTACACTCTTACAGACACTATGATGTTATATAGGGAACATTATTGGCCTTATGGTATCTCCAAATTCATAAAGCAACAACACTTTTTATAATTGATTCCATCTATAGTATATTTGAAGAAACCTACACCTTGTCACTAACAAGGTATAACAATCATTAGTTCTGAAGTTCATTCTAGACTAGAAGTTTCCTCACATATACTTTAGGAGCTTTTATTCTGTCACTGAAGATATGTATTGTGGATTCTAACACAATGTTCTCACATCTGTTTTCTGGAGGATATATGCCTGTGAATATCATTTTTTTAAAATTAAATGCCTGAAACATTGCAGAGTAAGTACTTTTCTTTAAAGGAAGTATAGCTGCCTCTAAATATAACTCTGGGCTACAGTTCACCTTTTCTGTTTATTTTATTCTTAACTTGTGAAACTGTATCTTAGGACATGGGGTATATAACTTGTTATTTGATATGAACTGACCAACAGTGAATCAATTGTAATGGTTCTGGCACCAAAGGAAATGGAGGGGACTTAAATATGTTTCCAGCAGGCAAAAAGCTTCTCTTGGTGTACAATTTACAATGTAGGCTGCAATTTTAGAATATTCAAAAGTCCACAAAAAGTTTTCTCACTACTTCTCATTAAAGACCAAGAGGACAAAACAGAGAAAACAAACTAATTCCAACCCACATATTCTCAGATTTTTTTTTTTTTATGAAATTCAGACTGAAAACCACCAAAGACCTCCCCGTCTTCCCTCCCTTCCGGTAACAGCATTGGATGGTATTCCTCGCTGTGAAACACACCCAGGCTCACACACTTGTGTTGTCATCGGTCCAGTAGGGGCCGGGGATGGAGCAGAGTTAGGGCAGACAGGCTTGGGCTCCTTGCTGCACGGGTGTCTTCGGTTCGCTGTGGACAACAGCAGGCTTTGGGACCGGGTCAGAGGGCTCGGGCTCACCACCTGTGTATACCTGGGTACGTTCTCGGGAGCGACTGGAAAAATCTTTAATAGGGAATAGGGAATGCTGTGCCGCCGAGCGCTCCCTGAAACCTCACCAGTCCTATTCTCTTGGCTTTTCGGCGTCCTGGATAGCCGCCCCAGGATTTTTAACATTTCTCCTGGTAAGAGTTTCTCACGACCGGACCCCGAAGTACACACCCAGATATCTCTAATTTGACGTTCAAGAAACAAAGGAGTGCTAAGATGCAAATTAGACAAAGTAACACCCAGAATGAGCCTCCTTTGGCAGGCCAAACTGGGATTTTAACGGAAAGCTAACACATACCCCCCACAACGAATTCATTCTATCTTTTAAGTTAAAAAAAATGTGTAATTTTAAGTTCCACCACTGACATGAGAAACACTCCACAATAACAAGCGGTGGAACAATGGACACCCCCACATCGCATTGTCAGGTAACTGCCAAGTGTCGCGGCGAGGGAAAGCGAAGCCCGAACGTAGGCGTGTCCTCCGCAGCGGGTGTGGGGTTCAGGGCTGCGCGTCTCACCGAAGCCCCATCAGACCGTCGTGCCAACGCCTCGAGCCAGAGAGGGACGCACACAATCCAAGCTTGGCCCTAGGGGGCCAACGAGGGGGGACGTGGGCGCGGGAAGAGAGCGAGGCTCGGAAGAGCGGGTGCGCGAAGTCCCGAGGACAGAGCGCAACCGGGCGGAGTGGGGAGCATCCCCCGGGGCGTGGCGCGGTGTCCCGGCTTCTGGAGAGCACTCGGTCCTATGAGGGTCCCTGCGCTCACAGAAGTACGCAATTTGGAGGGTTAAACCCAGGGCACCCGGACAGGGTAAAGCTGAGACG